TAAATTTCAACGTAACAGTTAATAAATTAAAACCAGAGGACGTCATTCCTAACATAGAAGCAGCACTAAACTCAATAGATAAGACTACAGCAGAAGAGGTTCGAGCACAATGTGCATTAACCCTAAAAAATCAAAAGAAAACAAAATCAAACTTAACAAAATCGGAAAGGGAAGCTTTAATTAGTCTTAAACAGGATAAAAACATTGTCATCGCAAAAGCTGACAAAGGAAACTCCACCGTAGTTTTGGATAAATCTGACTACATCAAAAAAGTTACTGAACATATTGAAACGGGTCCATATGAGGAAATTAAGAAGCCTGTAGATACAATAATGAATAAGGTTAAGAAATCTACAACGGAACTAATACGCAGAATGAAGCCATCACTGGGTGAGTCTAAATGGTTTAATTTAATGCCTAAAACTAATAATGCTAGTAGAATATATGGTACTATAAAAATACATAAGCCAGGTTACCCCATAAGACCAATAGTAGATTTTAGAAATACCCCTACGTATGAATTATCAAAACACTTAGCTCTAATACTATGCCCCATTAGAAATCGTTCAAACTCTAGATTAAATAATTCATATGAAATGAAAAATAAACTAAATGACATTCAACTAGCGAATGATGAAACAATGGTTAGTTTTGATATAACTAGTCTTTATACTAATATACCAGTTAATATGGCCTTAGAAGCAGTTAAAAAAGAATTAACTGCGGATCCGGAACTCAGTCATAGGACAAAGCTGTCCATTGAAGAAATTATTTTAGGGATTCAGTTATGCCTCACATCTACTATCTTTAAGTTCCAAGGCAAAATATATAGACAAACAGAAGGTGTAGCAATGGGATCACCAATATCCCCTATCGTAGCAGACATATTTATGGACAGCTGGGAAAATAGTGCCCTCAATACATTTAACCCTACTCCGAAAATATGGTGGAGATATGTGGATGACACTTTCACAGTGTGAAAAACAGAACACATCTCTAGCTTCTTGACACATATAAACTCACAAGTTGAGGGAATAAAATTCACATTTGAATCAGAAAATGAACAAGGAGAATTAGCTATGTTAGATTGTAAGATAAAAAGAATAGAAGAAGGCAAACTACACACTAGTGTTTATAGAAAACCAACGCATTCTAATAGATATTTAGACTTTAATTCGTCTCATCCTTTAACTGTTAAGGCAGGCTTAGTTAAATGTTTAACAAACCGAGCAGTGGCACTAAGTAGCACAAAAAAAGATCTAAATGATGAATTAAAACAGATAGAAGAAGCGTTGGTGTTGAATAACTATCCTATAAAATTCATTAGGAAGATCATTAAAGGCCAAAAACACAATAAAAATAACTGTGAAACTAGTAATGGTGACATAAATAAGAAAGAATATAAATCATCCACAGTTATACCATATAAAGAGGGGACATCTGAGACACTACATAGGATTCTGAATAAAATAGGAATTAGGGTGGCATTTAAACCTACAAACTCACTCAGGGACAAGCTCTGTAGGTTAAAGGACCCAGTTGACCCAATTAGACAAAATAATATTATTTACAAAATACCCTGCAATTGCTGTGAGGTCAACTACATAGGTCAAACTAGTAGGTCAGGGGTAGTCAGATTGTCAGAACATAAGAATTTAGCTAAGGCAAGAATAGTTGACCCCGAGAAGATAAGTAATTTAGAAAAAAGCTCAGCAATTGCAATGCATGCGCTAACACACAACGACACAATATGGTGGGAGAGGGTTAGAATTCTAAAACGTAATCTAGGTAGGTGGAGAGAGAGGTTGATTACTGAATCCTTGTTCATCGAGTCTACACCCAACACATGCAATAGGAATGACTCGTCACTCATACCTGAAATATGGAAAATACTATTACCAATCAAATCAAGTGAAAACCAAGAGAAAAACAATGGATCTTTATAAATTATAATGAAAAATAAGAAATTTTTGGTTTTTTCTAAAAACAGTTCTAATGATGCCGGAAGTTATTCTCATCATTTGGTACAGTTTTGCATCTTATTTACTGAAAAATACGACAAAATAAAATTAAAAATACACATTACATAACAGTAATAAAAGGATTGTTTTAGCAGCTACATAGGGAATTACTGTATTTCATACGGAAAAAAATTGCATAAAGTAGAAAATTGTAGTAATAATAGTAATACCAACTAAAATAAAATACCAGAGTAACAATTAAACGATTGAAAGGGTGACACCATAAAATACAGAAAGATGAACGATGAAAGGGTCGATTTACTGTGCTAATTACATAGTAACTTGTAAGTTTCCCGTCTAACAGAATCTTCGTCACATAGAGTACGGGCTAAATAGGGTATTGTAGAATTTCTATACTTTGTGGTACGAGCATATAACTTTTTATATTGACTTCTCGTCCTACCTGATGAGATACAAGGGGACAGGTGTGAATAAAGGGGGTGCAGCGGGTCTGACAGTATAGCCTTAGCCCATTTCGTACAGGAATTTATATGCCTCTCGACTATAGTATTAGCGAGCTCATGCAGTGGCAGACCACAAGCTCTACTCACAGCATTTAATGCTCTTCGTAATATGATATAATCTTTTTTGAGAAGCCCAGGAAAGACTAATGGAGAGCAATAGAGTACAATAGGTAAAATATAGGAGTACGAAAATCGCAAAACTAAAGGTTGGTTGATACCTGATTGTCTTAACTTTTTAATGTAGAAGGTAAGATGAAGCATTTTCTTAGGGATAGATAAGATATGGGATGACCATGAAAGGTCAGAGGAAAGAACTAATCCAAGGTATTTAATGCTTGATTTGGTTTCAATTTCCGTGTCATCTATGCTACAGGGATCATGCGAGCTAACTAGTTCAAGTAAGTCACGTCGATGCTTGAAAGTAAAGTCAAGTGCCTGACATTTGGAAGGATTTAATATAAGACCATTTGACTTGGACCAGTTTTTGATGTCCAACAGAAAGCTATTAAGTTTGGAGCTGTCAGACTCGGAAGTGATAGGCAGTGATACAGTCAGATCATCTGCATATTTGACAAAGTTAGTTTCGTTTGAATGAGGTAGGTCATGTAGGAAGAAAGAAAAAAGAAAAGGAGAGAGTACAGCACCTTGTGGAACACCGGATTTTGTAAGCGAGGTAGAAGAAGATTTGCCGTTATATACAGTATACTGCATTCTACCAGAAAAATAGGAATGCAACCAACTCTTTTCCCAGGATCCTGTTTGTGTCAACGATAGCTTATTTAATAAAAAGCCACTAGGTACAGAGTCAAAGGCAGATGTGAAGTCTAAGAAAGCACTACGAACATTTTTGGCAGCCTTGTCTAAACAGGAAACAACATTGTGATATAAGACGACCGCAGCATCCAAGGTACTTCTACCATGTTTGTATGCAAATTGTTTAGGATCAATAAAAGGTTTCAAAGCGGGTTCAAGACGAAGTAAAAGTAATTTTTCCATCAATTTTAAAAAGGGGGAAGTAATTGCAATAGGCCGAAATTTAATATCAGAACCAGAAGATGGTTTTGGTATAGGGATAATTTTAATGTTTCTCCATCCTAAAGGTAGAACGTTACCGGAAAAAGAAGCATTAAAAATGTTCGTAAGAGGATAACACAAAATATCAGCACAGTTCCTGAGGACAACGGCAGGTATGCCGTCAGGACCAAGGCTTTGAGAAGGCTTAAGAGACCGGAGACATTTAAGCACATCACGGGTATTCAAACCAATAAAGTTATTATCAATATCATTTGTATCATTTGGAAGGGTATCAACAGAAGAGCGTGTGAAAGATTTGTTAAGAGTGTCAACATTAAGAGAGGGAATAGAAATACATCGCTTACCGTTAGTAATTTCTTTGAAAAGTTTCCATAAATTAAAAGGGGTTTTACATGACAAAAATGTTTGATTATATAAAACATTTAGTCTTTAGGAAGTCGTGTGATTACCTTGATATGATTATGAGCAATAAATTATGCTCGAAACGTCATCAGTAAACATTACTGTATAATACTGTGAGACTTTATCAAAACAAAATTTACCCATAATTGAAAACGAATTGAAATTTGAATATCTATCTAATGGAATTCCTTAGCTTTTATAAACGCTAGTGTGTGTAAGTGTAAGAGAGGAAAGGTGACTAACTGCAATTCTTGCATCAAGTTATAATCGGACAGTACGGTGAGAGGCAGCTAGACTTCGAATCTGCCTACACGTAACAAGCACAATGAGAAGGAAGGACTCAACACCCACACCAGAGATATGGGAAATTTTACTACTACTACTGTGGTGGTGTGATACAGACAATGTGTGTTCCAACAAAATATTATTCTCACATATTCCCACAGTTCAGCACTGAATTTGCAACAGAATACTTTGTGTACATTTGAACATTCTATTTCATGTCGTTTAATGTAGTAAACGAAAATCACACGCTTAATGATTGATTAAAGATTATAAACTGTATAGATATGAATAGCTGTTTGATCACTTGAAGAAAATATACCTTGACTCCCGTGTCTTGTCTTCTGCTGTTACATTTGGTGTCACTTATGCCTGCTTAAAAATGAAAAGTCTAAATACCCCACAGTTTTTGATGAAGGAGACATGTGGATCTTCATGCAGGACTTCAAGGATGTTGCGCAGTCGAATGGCGTTCAAGATCTGTCTGTGATGAGGCTATTATTTGGAACGCTGCTGGGCTGGGGGGGGTTGGGCGAAGACAGTATATGATAATTTGAGGCAAAAAACCAGCAGATATGCACCAGGGTCACGAAAACTACTTCCAAAGTGAGAAGAACCATACACGGTCACTGTGAGACGGGGTCACGTATATACGATCAGAGAAGCTAACGAAGAGAAGCGGCTGAACGTCAGCGAGCTCTGAAACTGAATACAACAAGATAAACAACAAAGCCGCTAGTGTAACAACAGAAGACAAGGGCCAGGCAACAGATCGTTTTATTATGAAAATCAACACGTTTTTATACATATTTCACATACATTATTATAGACAAGCGCAGTCATCTGATTGGTTGTTTCGGGATTCCTTGACAAATAGAGTTCTCTATCTGCGAATCATATTTTGCCACGTTAACTTTGCTGTGATTGGTTGTTGAATCAGCCTTGTTCATATTTTCTCAAGGCCCATATTAACGTAGCTTAGTGTCAACCAATCGGCTAGCAGCCTGCTCTCACCACACTCGTCCCCCCGTCAAATACGTGCGACTGAAGTCGGCTTGATCTACTTGGTGCAGGCGTCATCGTTGGCTTGTCTCGCTGTATCCATTTCTGGAGCTCGCTGACGTTCACGTGCCTCTCATTGTTCGTCATTGCGATTGTGTCCGCGTAATCCCATCTCGAAGTGACCATATGTGGTCCTTCCCATTTTGGAAACTGTTTGCCTGACCCTGTCGGACATTCATCGGTATTTCGGCTCACACTTTCATATGCTGCTTTCACCCGAACTCCCAGCAGCGTCCCAAGTAGCAGCTCCATCGCTGACAGATCTTGAACGCCACTCAACTGCGCAGAAGCCTTGAAGTCCTGCCCGAAGATCCATATGTCTCCATCAAAAACAGCAGGGCATAGGCTTTCCATTTGTCGGTAGGCAGCGACACCAAATGTAACAACAGAAGACAAGGGCCAGGCAACAGATCGTTTTATTATGAAAATCAACACGTTTTTATACATATTTCACATACATTATTATAGACAAGCGCAGTCATCTGATTGGTTGTTTCGGGATTCCTTGACAAATAGAGTTCTCTATCTGCGAATCATATTTTGCCACGTTAACTTTGCTGTGATTGGTTGTTGAATCAGCCTTGTTCATATTTTCTCAAGGCCCATATTAACGTAGCTTAGTGTCAACCAATCGGCTAGCAGCCTGCTCTCACCACACTAGCACCAAGAAAACCAAACCGACTTCAGTCGAAAGTTTTTGATGTGGGGGGGAAAGGAGTGGTGGTGTGAATTAGGGAATTACATACAGTGATATGATTAATTTAGTTTCTAAAGAGGAAACTATGATGTGATTTCACCTCGAGGAACACTGTAAATTGAAAATTGTCAATTTGGTTTACGGTGTCACCGGTGGTATCTCAAGCAGTTGGCCAGAAGTCGAGTGGTTTGAACTGATATAGTTCTCTGAGGTGGGTCAAACTGAATACACTGTTATCCGATGTTGATATCACTCTAATCTGGTTGATTGGCAAGTATTATTGATTGATACGGGTGAAATACAACTACTAATTTCAAACAGTCAGTAATATATACTTTTATACAAACAAATTTGGAATGTTATGTAAATGATTGCCTTGATATGATGATTCCAAGTAGCAATGAACTGTTCTAGGAACATTCTATGTTTTTCTATCGGGGTTTTTAGAAAACAAACGCGAAAGTAATTTCAATATTCGATACCAGGGGAGGTGTTTGCTGAGCTATGAATTATCGGATCGCCTGTTTCAGGATTTCATACATTTATTCCCCTTAATGAATTTGAATAAAGCAGGAACAACAGCGGCTTATGCAGAATAAAATGCTACCATCACATCGTTTATTTCGTTAACATCCCATCAGCTGCTTACAGGCCAAAGTCATTATTGAATATCTCTACACAAACGATTTTCAGATACTTGCACAGAAAGAGTTCATTTTTACACAAAATTCAATCAATCGGTCAATATATGCATACAGTAATTATATATATATATATATATATATATATGTATTATTAAACACTATTCCGAACAATAATGATCATACATAATGGAAACTCCCGATATTACGTAATCAGATGAGAGGTGAAAATATCCAGTTACCATGGCAAGTTTTCTGAAGCAATCTCCATCAAACGCCTGAAACCTGATTTATGAGTTCAGAAAGAAGCAGCTACCAGTTTTTCTTTTCCCATCCTGGTAACTGGATATTTTCACCTCTCTTTCATCTGATTACGTAATTTCAAAAGTTTCCGTTGTGTATGAACATTATTGTTCGGAATAGTGCTTAATATTATTATATATATATTATTACTGTATGCATATATTGACTGACTGATTTTTGTTTAAAAAATGAACTTTTTCTGTACAAGTAAATTAAAATTGTTTTTGTAGACATATTTAATAATGTCTTTGACCTGTAAGCAGCTGACGAGAAGGTAATGAAAGAAACGATGTCATGGTATCAGTTTGTTCTGCAAAGATCGCTGTTTTTCTTGCTTTATTTCAGGATTAATGGCTGAAGACGTTATGCAAAGATTAGAATTAATAGCCTTAGTCATAGTCAGACCAAAAATCTGAGTTGCGTTGTGATGATATATTCTTGATATTTAAATCGGAATACACCCACAAATCAGTCAACAACATATCTGAAGACATTAAATTCACTACATGAGATGAATAATTAGATAACAAAATTCTATTCTTAGATGTCTTAATCAAGAGAATTAACCCAGGAAATTTAGAAATGAAAGTATACAGAAAATCTCAAAAAATACCCATTTATTCATAAGTAAAAACCCAGTTTTTTTGTTCAGCGAAGAAATTTTTTTCAACTACTTCATTTTCAAGCCAACTGTACAATCGTATTTATATTACAGAAAAAGGTTATTAAGTGGCACTAAATAATTGCTCAGTCAATGTACGTATATATGTGATAAAAGTTATAAGGGGTAGAGTTGAAGTGGATAAATTACAAAAATATTAAAGATTGTTTTATAACAAAAATGTCAAGTGTTGTCTAAAAATTTTGAAAATTAGGAGTACGATTACGATAAGAATGAAGATGTGAAGTGAAGTGGAAAGAATTCAAGTGGAAAAATAAAATAAAAACTAGAAAGAACATTATTATGACCAAGGTAAAGAAAGGGGTTTGACAAAACGCTTTTGAACACATAATTTAGGTTTCTGTTCATGTATAGCTAAAGCTTCGGTTAGCTATGCATAAATGAAGAAAACGTAAACTTTTGGATCAATTCGATTTTGCCATGTAGATAACTTTGAAAGATGAATCACGTGGTGCTAAATGACTAGACTCTAACTGGTGATCACAAATAGATGATTTCGCAGTTCTACGTTCGCCTTTCATTAACCAAACCGGATAGTGTTCAGCAACACGTTTTCGGAGATTACGCTTAAAATTTATCCACTTCAACTCTACCCCTTACAACTTTTATCACATATATACGTACATTGACTGAGCATTTATTTAGTGCCACTTAATAACCATTTTCTGTAATATAAATACGACTGTACAGTTGGCTTGAAAATGAAGTCGTTGAAAAAAATTTCTTCGCTGGACAAAAACTGTGTTTATACAGAAAATCAACGCACGCAAACCAGATACTCAACTATAATAGTAATAACGTAATTACACACAAAAAAAAACAACTGTGTGCAAACATTGTTTAAAAGAGTCCAAACACACTTTAGCACTCCTGGGTTCGAAGAGAATACAGGAAAAATACCTACTAACAAGCATCTTCAAAAAGAATGGATATCCCCTCACAATTTCATCAAAAACTGTTTTAACTCGATTCATAACACCAACAACAAGTCAACATGAAAGGCCACAAGAAAATTCATCCTCCCAAATATCAGAAAAAGTATCTCTGAAATAACAGCAAGAATATTGAAACCGTTTGAAATAGATATAGCACATAAGCCAGTCAGCCAGCCAGCCAGTCAGCGCAATCACTGCAATCGATATTGTGCGAACCGAAAGATCCAACAGAAAAAAGAAGATAAAATAAGTACTATTTACAAAATACATTGTATGAACTGCAATAAATATTACATCGGTCAAAATGAGCGTCACCTTAGAATCAGAATACAGGAACACAAATTAGCTGTGATCAGATATGTGCGTCGGTGGCACAGTGATTAGGACTCTTGCCGACCATGCACATCATCCAGGGTTCGATCCCCTCCCGACGCACACCTCATATCTATGGTCGGCCTGTAAAATTCGGGCTACCGATATCACATGCTGAAAATTCCATGCCTGTACCAAAAAATATGGTGTGGAATCAAGCTGAAATCAAAAAATATAAATATATATATACCTGATTTAAACAATGCAAGTGGATAATTATGGAAACCGATTTGACGATTTGGATAATGAAGAAATTATAAACAGATGAAACACCAGAAATGCAATCAGGGAATTCCTAGAAGCCTGGTAGTCAAGCGAATCAGTCAGTGATTAGCAAACGCACTAATTACTATAGGCCAAATTTACAAGCTATTAAAAAGTAAATCACAAGTGACAAAAAACGTTCAAATTCCAAGTCAATAAAAATAGAGATACAATTATATCATTTCTTTTGATGTAGTTGTGTTCTCTGAGCTGGATAGTTTATTTGCAAAGCTTTCAACCATGGAAATCAATTCGACTGGGATAACCAACTTTCAAATATTAGACAGAGGAATCATCAAGAATGCCAAAGAATTTTTAGAAACCTTATTGGTATTCCAGTGAATCGTCAATTCATATACACAGCGACAGAGATAAAATTTACCAATCGATTAGAAGGCGATCTCATACACAAAAGGGTCAAACATAATATCAAGGAAACAATCAACAACAATTTTCTATAGTTTGGTTTGTATGGGTTAGTTTTGTTTTTTGCAAGTTGATCACGGATTGATATCAGCTAGAGAACCATTGAAAACCAGTACCAGAGTACTGGACAGCCAGCTGTTTTATCCTAGTTTGAGAATCATTGGCAGTACGCACCCACAGGGATTCGAAACCAGGACCTTCTGGTTACAAGACAAGCTCTTAGGCGACCATTCAACCACTGGGTCCCGATTCAATGGTATACGAGCTTCCATTATAGATAAGATTTTTTTTATTTTGATAAAACGCACAGTGTTTACAGTTATATGAACTGATGACGTTTCGAGCACAATTTATTGCTCATAATCATATCAAGGATCATATCCTTCATCAGTTCATATAACTGTAAACACTGTGCGATTTATCAAAATAAAAATCTTATCTATAATGGAATTATACTCTACCACAGTGCCCAAGTTTTATACTTATATCAAGGTATACGAGCTTGCCGTGTAACCGGAATGTCCTGGGTTCGAATCCCATTTGGTGCGTTCTGCCGATGATTCCCAAACTAGGATGAAACAGCTGGCTGTTCAGTACTCCCTGGTTTTCAATGGTTCTCTAACTGATATAAATACGTGATCAACTCGTAAAAATCAACATTGATACCAATACAAGTAGCCTAGAGGGTGTGAAAATACAAAAAAAAAACAACCAATCACGTTCAGGATCACCAATCAGGAGAGATGACTAATAAACTCATCGAGAAATCTTAAAGCCTCACTTTAACAAATTGAAGTAGTATGTACTGAAGCTGTTGCTTAGTAGGACAATGAAAGCTCCTCAAGTCAACCATCCAGTCAGCTCAGAGAACACAACCATATGAAAATCATCCACCTGAGCTACAAATCTTCTCTATCATATCCAAAACAACTGTCTTATTCATTGAAAATTCAGATAAGTTCATTTTATACTCAAATCTACACTGAAGATGTTGTCTAGATTGGGGGGACAATGTGCAACCAGCTTCAAAGAACACAACCAAGCCACAAAAACAACCACAGAGATACAAAGTTAAAATGAATCACCAAATTTGACAAGCTATCCAAGCTCTACGTCTACAGAGAGACAGAGAGAGAGAGTGCGAGAGACCCCCACCAAAAAAATAAATAACGATTATTTATACTAACGTTCACGTGCAGAAGAAAGCAAATCAAACGGGGAAACACTTCAAACACTTAAATCAACGCTTGTATAAGCAGTAAGCAAGTGAGTAAAGCAAGCAATCTATTGAATAATTACACACCACATACAGCTCTATGCATGCATGCATGCGTGCATATATGTGTGTGCATCAACAACAAAACATATAGCGACAATGATGAAAGCGAAAAATATAGTAGCCAAACCAAGCAATGTGTCAAACTACATTAGAAATATATGTGTACGTGAGTGTGTGCGTGAGGGCGTGCACAACTACATTTATCGGTTAGATATGTATATAATATGCAATATATATATGTGCATAAAGATACTCTATGATACGCACCGCTTAGTGTATGCAAATCGAAACGATTGACACTGGTCACCACCAGATGATGAAATCGAAGAATCCGTATAAGATGACGTCGGTTTACTATGATATGAAATACAATATGATAAAATACTTATATACACATAGATATATATACGTATATATGGAGATATATATACAAACGCATATTTATATAAATATTGTGTAAAGATAATGACAAATAAAAGAAGACGAACATTAAACGCATGCATGACATTTGATATTGTTTTTCTTACAATAATGACAAATGGAATATAAATGAAGGCGTAGTTATTGGAAAGAATGTGGATCGAACACATGCAATACAAACTGATGAACACATAAGATTTAACTAGCCAAAATATATCTAACAATATATATATATATATATATATATATATATATATATATATATGTATATATGCGTATGCAGATAGTATAGTGACGGAGTGGAATAAATGGTGCACGCTTCTCTGTCATCTAGAAACCGACAGACAGATTTTGTGATTTTTGTTTAGCTTTTTCTGAAAGACTAATTAACTAAGATAGAGCTGTCAAAATTTACACTTAAAATGAAGTCAGTTAATCTGGATTTAAGCTGTCATATATATGCATACATATATACAGGTCGCCAGTTGCCAAAAAATTGTAAGTCATACGCCATTGTATTGACTTCCGATGGCTGGATAGTCTCCGAGTTTGGCCTTGAAATCAGAAGGTGATGGGTTCAAACCTAAGTGAAGGCTTATTCCTGAAGAGCCGCAAACTAGGACGAAACAGGTGTCTAGTACTTCCTTCCTAGTTTTCCAATGGTTTTATTGCCGATGTCAGTTTGTGATGAGATTTGTATTCAGGATTTTTAATCGGCTAAACTGGGATGTAATGAAACGTATTGTCTTTGGTAGGTTGTTCTTCTCTTTATAGATTACTTTGAAAGAGAAGGCATTTGTTGAGAGTGAATGAACAGCGGTGAAGAAATGTTCGATCATAGCATTCCTGATACGGCCACTACTTCCTTTCCGAGGCCAGGCTGGATAGTGTTCTTTGGCCCTTTTTGACAGGATGCACGTCGAGCCAGTTACATCAGTCGTTCGATACGCATCCTGTCAAAAAGGTTTAAAGAATGCTATCCAGAGTGGCTGCAGAAAAGAAGCAGTGGCCGTATGAGGAGTGCAATAATCGAACATCTTCTCACCACTGGTCATTCTATCTCAATAAGCGCCTCCTTTAAACTAATCGACAAAATGAAAGAACAAACTGCCAAAGACAATACGTTTCCGTCTTCTTCACATTGCAGAAGCCCTAGCCATTCAGTTGGAAGAACCAGAACTAAGCATATAAAAGAAAATTATTCAACCATTTCTACTATCGTGGTGACAACTTCGTTGATTAGACTTAACTTTTGTTTGTATGCTTATTTTTCTAACTACTTAAAACTTTTGTGTAATTCCGTATGTTATTTTGTTTCCATGTGCACCTTGAGCACAAGTCTTTCATCATACTATTCGTGTTATTACGTAACTCTTCTTTACCAATTACTTGTGACAACTTCTCACATTTGTTACTACCCTCTTATATTAATATACAATTTACCTGAACTTACTAATTATATTTTCGTTTGGCAAATTTAATGTACACACACACATACATACAAAATAACCATTTATATATTTGCGATTGTACAGCTAGAAAAATGAATTCGCCGCCGAAAAGAGACTCTTCGCTGAACTACTGGTCTTCTGTCTATTTGTCTTCACACTCAGCTTGATGGAGCCCGGTGGTCACTACGTCCTAGTAGGACTTCAGATAACTTCATCCTTCAGTGAGTCAATAGAGGGGTCGATTCCTTGTACGCTTGTGGGTTGCTAGTTCTGAAAAGTGACAAATAAAGACGATAAAGCTGTCCAGTACTCGCTGGTTTTCACTGTTTCTCTAATTTACGTTAGTCTGTGATCAGTCATGAAGTGAATCGAATCTCTGTGAACTAATACTTGAAAAGTAACATGAATATTGCCAGATGATAGTTCTTCATTATCCAAACTCAGGAGAGATATTGTTGTTCGGGCCTGTAAGGTAGAGTTCTGAAGTACTTCATTTATGATGAAACGTCAACTGTCTAATTCATTTTCCTTTCTAAAATGTTGCAGTCTTCATTGCATTCTTCATCATTAGTGGAAGACAGTAGTTAAGAGTTCATCCTTATAACATTGCCACAGAACAATTGAATTTATTCTCCGCTGGAATTTCAGAGGACAGATGATGCCAACTGTTGAAAGCTATCGGAAAGTCAGTCGCGAGATGTTTTTTTCTTTAGATGGAAGCAAAATTTAGCGTGGGTGATATGGAATTATCACCCCAAGGCTGCTGAGATTGCAGAATACAATACGCTTTCATCAGAATATTTGAGAATGAATCGTTTTTAGACATCTGTGTATTTGATGATTCTGTGATTGGGGACAAACGTTTCACCAACAAAACGTGTACAATCAAATTAATATACAGTTAGAACATGGAGAATAATGTGTTGATAAATTTAAATGACGCTTGAGTTGGCAGTCATCTACAAACTTGTCCAGAAATACCGCTGGTGGACTCAGGACTACTACCAGTCGCTAACCCCACAAGAAAAGTAAGAGCCTAGAAGGCCATAAAGTTACTAAAAGCCGAGAAAACAGCAGGAAGTTGTAGAATACCCCCTCTCCGACAATCACTGAAGACGGACCTAGAGACCTGATCAGAAACACTCAGGCTATTACTGTAAAGGATGTGGAAGGAACAGAAAGCATCTGAGCTTTGGGAGAGCAACTGCTTTTTCAAACTATTAAGGAGGGTGATTCTGGTCGATGCAGAAACTCACATCTTTTCATAATCCTGCCCAGTCCAAATAAAATGCCAAGCTAGATCATTCTGGAAAGACTATAAGTTCTATTGGATGGAAGAGTGCCTGGAGCTGGCTGGACGCAGGAATTAATAAATCATTTGTTGACAGAACTTAGGAAGCCTACAATGACAGTCAGCTTTACACATTTACTCCATCTACTTTGAAAACTACTCCTGTGGGGTCGACTTGGAAGTACTTTGGCAACTCATCTACATAAGGAAGTGCGCTATCGCATAATTCTATAAACTGCGTTCAGCTCCTGTTTGATAATGCTACATGCCTATTAAGTCACAACGACGAGTTTAATGAAGCATTCAAAGTGAAGAAAGCAGTAAGAAAAAGCTGTCTACCATCATTGATGGTGCTCCACATTTCGGTGAACTGGACCGTGCAACAAAGCGTGGAGAGGTGTAAGAGATGCTTACTTTAAAATAAGAAAAGGATCCTAGTAGATTTCTTGCATGAAGTATGTCTCATATCTCATAAAGTAGAAGACTAACAAGTTTAAAATCAAATATGTTAGCAGAAGTGACAACGAAGACAGGACTTGAAGAGAATTCAGAAAAGACAAAGATGGTAAAGATACCACCTGATCGTGAGATAGATCAGAAAGCTCTCTTTTTCACCTATGTAGACAACATTGTTTCAACTATAGGCATCATGAAGCTCAGTCAACATTGGATCACACTCTGTCAGTGCTGGCAAATCCCTCTGGATATCTACAGCATTTATGAATATATTGTTTAGAGATATGACGTGCACATTACTGAAAGGATTTGTTAGAGCCTTCAGTACACTTTCATCAGCATCCGTTGATAATGCAGATCAGATAGCCGACCAGCTAGGAAACAGAAGTAACGAGTAACTCTGGTAGTCAGAGAGCCAACCAACAACATTTGGCACAATAAATGTTCAGAAGGACTTGTGTCTGACTGGTTTCAACACAGAACTTTACGCCGATGCGCAGCAATCCAAGTAACCAGACTTCACTTAGCACATAAAGCAAGAGAAGAAGGTAAAAGGAAACACAGAACAGAGGCAGTTAACAGAGATATGAGACAAAAAGAACAGTAATAACGGAGAACAGTTTAGTTTCATTGGGGATTATAAGTCACAAAGAGCACATGCATCTGTGCCACTGACAACGATTTTGAGCCATATTTTATTTTATTTTTTATTTTTGATTACAGCTTGATCCCACACCGTATTTTTGGTACAAGTATGGAATTTTCAGCATGGATATCGGTAGCTCAAATTTTGCAGGCGTGGGCTCGAACCCCGGACGATGTGCATGGTCGGCGAGAGTCCTAACCACTGTACCACCGACGCACCTAACCTACTGTATCCAGCCAGTGGTTTCTACCGTTCCAAGGACCCCAACCAGGAAGTCTACACCTTCTCACGTGACTGGCTGGCCTAAAGGAACTGTCGTGGATTTCATTGACTGATGAAACCATGTTTTGGTTTGACCACCACTGGCTCTTTTACAATCTGACTCTATGTCAGCTAACACTGCCCGTCGGTCGACGAAGGCGATGTTCAGGGATGCATGCGTGACACATGTCCTAACCATCTCAGTCGATGTAGCCTCACAGCCTCGTCGATTGATATCCTCTCTTTAACTAGCATTCGATCGAGGCCTAACCTCAATATTACTCACCCTATTATACCATTTCACAAGGGAGATAGAATGCAAGCACCCAGGATCAAACACAACTAGTCTTTTCACTTCTTCTACTCTTGATGGCCAGATCTCACAGCCATAAAAGAGGACGGAGTGGACTGCTGCTGAGCAGTAAACACGTCCATTGGTCGATAACCGGACATCACGTCTATGCCATAAACGCGGTAAACTAGCATATGCGAAACGAGCTTTCTGTATCCGTGCTGAGATTTCGTCAGAGATCAACCCGTTAGGGTTGATGCAACTTCCCAAATAAGTGAAGTGGTCAACATGCTCCACCAACCATTTCACTCGCTACTTATAAGTTAGGAGTTTATCAGTGTAGTCCAGTCCTGTAGCCTGATCATCTTACATTTTTCAGAAATGGGTGAATAGCATGCTAAACATTCGCAGATTGCAGCTGAAGGTGTTCAGAAGACTCTGCTCTATTTTCTCAGCGTCTTCACCTAGATGGGAGGACTATATCATCTGCATATTTTAATGCAATGAATATGCAGACGACAAACTACTGAGTGAAATCACATGCCGGGCTCCTGAATGGAAATTATATTGTGAGGAAATTTAAACTTGCGAACATCCTGAAGCCGGCTGAGCATATTGAGAGAGAACTAGATGTAGTGGATAGCTGTCTTTGAAGCTGTTTTCCCACTCAGAATTCAAGAACTCAATAATTGCAATTACCATTGAGTGAAAGCTGACGATATTGTCGAATAACTCACGTTGAAGTCGACATGAAGGGGAATTTGAATCTGGAACCCAAGTGGCTGAAAGTCAACTGTATAGATCAGTCAGTGACGTCAACTAATTACCGTAATCTTTGTTACAATGCCCCAATTTATACTGAATTCTTCCTTCTATATCCTTATTCATCAAATGTATGAATACAACTAACACAGTCGAATTCCAGTCGAGGTTATTCGTGGTGCGCGATGTCATTCAACGATCTCCTTAGTGGCGTGAGTCAGATATTTCTTCATTTCGTTCACCATATTTGTTTGGCGTTATGTTCTTGGCTGGTTATTTACCTGTCACAGTTTCTTGTTACTTACTGTTTCTGGCCATGTGATCTTCAGTATAGAACGGAAGAGGTGGCGGTTGCTGATGAAACTCTGCAGTGGCCTTTCTGAAATGCTTGTAGTGACTAACTAAGTTTTTGACGCATACAGAAGAACTGACATAAGAACAATCAATAACTAATGGAAATTTTTAATTTCTTTAAAAAGTAAGTAACTATAATATGATGGATGGTCACTAGCAGTGGAGCCTAACAAGATGCGCATTTCGTCCTATTTAGGACTCGTCAGCCAGCCACTGGATATACCTGTATTCCACTGTGAGTGATGGTGTTCCCCATGAGGCTCGAGCCCAGTACTAATAGTTCGAAACGCCCAAGAGTTATCCACTACACCATTTGGCGGTGAGTACTGGGTTTGAGCCTCAGTGGGAACACTAACACTCACTGGGGAATGAAGTTATATCCAGTTGTAACCAGTCGCAAATAGGCCAAAATATACCTCATGGATTTCACGGGTAGTCAACGTCCAGTAGTTCGCTTCCAATTAAATCCTCAGACATTGTCGAAGCATCCACACAAGCCAATCAACATGTCAACCTGAGATCGAACACTTCAGTTCAACCAATCAACGAGAAAGTTCAAAATGAATTTGTTAAATAATTTTTTAATACATTTGAATTGTACGAACACACTATCTCATCTCACGTACTCACTCGTTATCCAATTTTCTATGCGATTTATACAAATCAAGGCACATAGCAGGAATAGTAGGCGACAATAATCTTTTTTTGTTATGTTGATCAACTTCGGAGAATTTTTGAAAATGATTACAACTATTAATACTAGTACTATTACTACTACTACTAATATTATTATTATCAGTAGTAATGACAGTATTTCTGTCAAATGAATTATTTCTACTTGATGATTCCGATATAGATTCATGACATGTGACTTGTAATATGTTGTTATTACGAAGAGTATTCACTGGCTGATGATGATGATGATTGAGAATAATTGAAGATGAAGAACTGAACATACGATCTGTGGAATTATTCTTATTATCATTTCTGGTGGTAGTAGTCGAAGTCATATTGCTATGACAACCATTAGGAGTACTAGTAGTAGTAGTAGTTGTTGTTGTTGTCGGTGTTGTGTGCATGTTATAACGTCTTCTAGGCAAGATACCAGTATCATCATGAGTTGTAGAAATCTTCATACCATCAGTATACCGGTCCATACTCTTTGATCGAGTAGACACCGACAATGATGAATTGATTAAACCACTTTGAGATTGATTCATAGAAAGCGTCTTAGATTTAATTAAGCCAACTGATGTACAGTTAATAATATTATTATTATTATTACTGTTATTCTTATTGATTTGACCATTTGATGACAACCAATGAAAGCTAAATAGAATTGTATAGTATATAATATATGCATATACATATTGACAGAAAATTAATAGATGATATATGATTTTTTTTAAAAAAAAAGTATTAGTACACAGCAAAAGTAAAGAATAGACCTCAAAATTAATTGACCTTGAAATCAACCAATCAGATCGCTCAGGATTACAAAATGGATGCTTTTCATAGTCTTCATTACAACATTCACTCACTCAAACCGTCTCTGACTTTAACACTGAATAAGGAAGGATGTAACCTTCAAGGAAGAATTTGTTTGATTTGTTGGAGAATTGCATCATGAGCTGACATCGGTTAGGGGAACATTGGAAAACCCGTCCGGGAGAACTGAACAGCTGTTTCGTCGACCTAGTTTGAGACTCTTCAGCAGTACGCACCAATAACCCCACCACGGTTCAAGCCCATGACCTTCTGGTTATCAGGCGAATCACTCTATCCGGTGCATGAATTCTAACTTCTACCAATTCATGACATAACGCTACCACTAGCTACTGTCTTAGATGGGCCTTTGGATCTGGTTCCAGTGGGTTAATGGTCTACGATTTAGTCTAGTAAACCCGAAAATTCTGCGTTTGAGCCTCAGTGGGTGAGCACCGCTGAAGAGTCCGGAACCAGGTTGACGAAACAGCTGTCCAGTACTCGCTGGTGGGTTTTCCAATGGTCCTCTAACCGATGTCAGATCATGAGGAAATCCTCCAACTAGTCAAACAAAATCTTTACAAATCATTGATTGATAACTGATCAGGCAGCTATTTAGGGTCCCTAGTGGGAAGTTGTATCCAGTACGGTACAGCAGGTCGAAGGTGAGGACAGTTACTCATTGGAAAAGACATTGCGAAGTGATCACTCTATGTCGTAGAATGGCAGAAGATTATGGAAAGCATCCATTAGTAATTCTGAGTGATCTGATTGGTTGGTTCAAGGTCGTCTGACTTTGGTGTCTATTCTTTACTTTTGACCAGTATACAGAAACACCTGAAAAAGTTAAAATGTTTGCATATATATATTTAATGACAAAAGGAGCTACTTTCAAGCAAATGTATGAATGATATACTTCATGAGTGATGCTAGCATATGAGTGTATATGCACATATATAATAGACAGGTGAATAGGCTTTTCAATGTACAGAAATATGCAGATATAGGGATGACAACAGGATATACATAGACCAAGCAGTACCACCAAAAATACTATTTACAAGAGCTAATTTGTGAGAATTTGACTTGTTTCAAGTTTGACCATCACAGATCGAGGTCAGTTAGACAACCATTGGAAGATCTGACAAGCAGCACTGCGTAACTGTTTCGTCCTGCTATGGAGAGACTCTTCAGCATTATACACCTTTCACTACTCGACCTCAGGATCTTCTGTTTACGAAGCCAAGCTTGTTGGCCATCCAGCCACTGGACCCAATCTAGTAGTGAGTGCATGAATTCCAATTTCTTACACCATCAGCCAATGTCATTTGCGGGTATCTGTTCTCACACTCAACCTGACTGACTCCACTGGTCACGACTTCCGAATAAAAATTCAAATCTCACTGAAAAGAGTCTCAGCGGCTGAATGAATAATCAGTGGGTTCATACTGATGAAGAGCCCCAAAATAGGACGAAATAATTGTCCAATACTCCATGTACGTTTCCATTGGTTCTGTAAACTAACATCAATCCTTGATCAAATTAGAAACGAATCAAGTACTTACAAAGTAAACTCTTGAAGAAAAAGATTACGTAATTCAATAAACTATGAACAGTGGGATTCATATAAAGTAAAAAAAGTTCGTGCAAGTTTAAGAATGAGTTGCAATGTAATATTACTCATATAATCACTCCGTGTATACCTGAATAAATTTTATCATGTTAGGGTTCATATTGCTAGACTGAGGAGCCAAAAAATTATGACTTGCTCTCCGGAATTTGAATTATGATTGCAGCAATAATAAATTTATGGATACAGGTGCAATGTCAGAATACTGTACAATTCGACAAACTGACATTAAGTTATAACTTCTATATGCGTATCTATCTGTTTATAAACTGGCGACGACATGAAAATAATAATGATTTAAGTATATATACGTTTTAGACACTATATCTTTGTCAACGACGCACGTGGTCCGCGTTCGGCTCCCAAATGGCACATACTTAAAGCATGCCTTGTCGGTGGTAAGTTCGGAAAAGAGGGCAAGTTAGGCGTTGTGCTATCACTAAACAACCTGTAACATTAGCCAACATCAGTGCTACTGATACTTTGGAAGCTTGAAGCTCTATTTAACACCCAGAACTCAAAAATAAAAAATGGATATGTTATATTCGAAATTTTCGTGCAAACCTCGTTGAATATTATCACCGCCCATTAAAGGTTTTTATATGTTTAACCACGGATTGATATCAGTTAGAAAACTATTGAAAACCAGCCCCCGGGAGTACTGGACAGCTGTTTCATCCTAGTTTGGGAATCATCGGCAGTACGCATCCACCTCCACGGTTCAAACCCAGGAACTTCCGGTTACAAGGCAAGCTGCTTGGCGACCATTCAGCCATTGCGGGACACGACTCCTCAACGGCTAAACCATGAATTCTAACTTCCACCAATTTATGGTGCATTTAATGTGACCACCAACCAATGTCATCTATGGGACATCCATCCTCACACTTGACCGGTCGGACATAACTGGTCACAAATTTCTGGAAGTAAGAATTTTCATGAGCTGGCCATTGAAACAGGTCCCAGTGGCTGAATGGTGGTCAGCGTACTTGCCTTGTGATCGGAGGGTTCAGAGTTCAAACCATGGCGGTGGTATTTTACTGCTGATGATAACCAAGCTAAGATGAAACAGTTGTCCAGTACTCCTTGCCGGCTGTCAATGGTTCTTCAGCTGATATCAATCTGTAGTGAAACACTTAAAAACAGATTTAATCCTTACGGACCAACTCTTGAAAATATGGACGTGTCGTCCATACGTATATTAACATTTTCGGTTAGTTTTAATCAGTCATCAGTGGGTCCCACAGAAAAATTAGAATCATTTATTTATGATGAATTTGTTTTGTAAAGATTTGATTAGTTATGATAGAGAAGATTTGTAGCTCAGGTGAATGATTTTGATGTGGTTTTGTTCTCTGAGCTGGATGGTTAGTTTGAGAAGCTTTCATCACCTTACTGGGTGACATCTTCAGCGCATACTTCAATCACTTGAAGTGAGCTTTTAGATTTCTCCACGAGTTTATTAATCATCTCTCCTGGTGACCTTGGACGTGATTAGTTGTTTGTGTGTGTCTTCACATCTTCTAGGTTATTTGTATTGGAACCGGTTGTTTCTTTGACTTGAACTTTGACCCTATGTGTGTGAAGTTTCTTTCTTATTGGTTGATAAATTTTGTCTATGTCACTCGATGTGTCTATTGATTGATGATCCACTGGAATACCAGCCAAGCTTCTAAAAATTCTCTAGCATTCTTGTTGTTTCCTCTATCTAATATTTGAACGTTGTCCCAGTCGAATTGATGTCCGTAGTTGTCTGTGTGTTTTACCATATATAAAAGATATCTCAGAAATCACTACAAGACTCTTCAAACCTTTAGGAATTGACATTGTACACAAACCAACAAAGTAGCTGCACTCAATTCTATGTCAACCAAAAGACTCAACAGCGAAAGAAGACAAAACCAACATCATCTACAAAATAAACTGTAACAACTGTGATAAACACTACATTGGCCAAAGTGGACGTCCCCTTCGTCTTCGTATCCACGAACATAAGCTAGCCGTCAAAAGACATGATACACACTCCCTCATTTCACTACACACAGACAACCAGGGACATCAATTCGACTGGGACAACGTTCAAATATTAGATAGAGGAAACAACAAGAATGCTAGAGAATTTTTAGAAGCTTGGCTGGTATTCCAGTGGATCATCAATCAATAGACACATCGAGTGACATAGACAAAATTTATCAACCAATAAGAAAGAAACTTCACACACATAGGGTCAAAGTTCAAGTCAAAGAAACAACCGGTTCCAATACAAATAACCTAGAAGATGTGAAGACACACACAAACAACTAATCACGTCCAAGGTCACCAGGAGAGATGATTAATAAACTCGTGGAGAAATCTAAAAGCTCACTTCAAGTGATTGAAGTATGCGCTGAAGATGTCACCCAGTAAGGTGATGAAAGCTTCTCAAACTAACCATCCAGCTCAGAGGACAAAACCACATCAAGATTTGATTAGTTTCAGGTTTAGCCAATGATTGATATCACTTACAGAATCGTTGAAAACCAACAGAGAGTACTGGGAGGCTACTTCTTCCCTAACCAGAACTTTTCATCAGTACACACTCACGACCCACCAAGGATAAGACACATGACCTTCAAGTTATGCAGCCAAGGCGGTTAACCATTCAGTAATTCAGGTTGTAATATAACTCATTGAATAAATACTGCATCAGCAAGCACCATTTGTCTGTTACGAGACTACAATCGTTGGGTTCCATATCGGGAAGCATTCTTGAGGATTACAATCGTATGACGGTGGTCATCTTCAAAATTTCAGTGAAGCTATTAGATAACTGACTAACACTATAGATTAAAATTAACACGCTTCTTACTTTCAGTTGTTGATTCTCAGGAATTCAATTGATCTCCCATGTGAGATCACAAAAATGAGATCTGATAAATATTCCTGTTACTTTTTTTTATTGCTTTGCGTTCAGAGTGGAACATAAGAATTCAAGTTCTGGGCTATGAAGTTTCAGCCGTAGTGGAGTTGCTGGCGACAGTCTCAAACTTTCTTCTTTGCTGTGATTACTACCAGCCAACGAAGGTTAAAGAATGCATCGGTCAGGAATCGAACACCAGACGATGTGAGTGTTGCTTAGAATTCTACCACTGGACCACCAATGCCAACAAACATTATCAAACCGCTTAAATAGTCTTATGCCGCTTGGAACATTTGCATATTCAATTAAAATGTA